TCTCTCTCTCTCTCTCTCTCTCTCTCTCTCTCTCTCTCTCTCTCTCTCTCTCTCTCTCTCTCTCACTCATAAGTGGTGATACGACTGGTAGTGTACATACAGTCAGTCACGCTTTGTTTTTGCAAACAACGCCTTTTTATTTAACTACAAGTATTTCAAGTCTATATAATGTAAAGTATATTACATTAACTGTAGTGAGCTTTTAACTATAGATGTCCGGCAACACCATATAGTCGTCCGGTTATTCAACAATTGTTTTATCGCTAATAAAAGCATAACATCTGATTCACAATATACTGTGCATTGCATTCATATTCAATGGGAAACTCAACTATAGATGAGAGCAATAAAAGTTTGAATAAATATTCTAAACATATAAAAACATTTTTATGACTTCTATTAATTAATATTTATTGCCATTCAATTTACTGCTAGTTAAATGATATATTCTTGCGCTCATAAAACACTTTAAATGATTTATTGAAAATAACTTGAGTAGTAATTAATGTATAATCATTAATATTAATTGTCAACTAGGCAACTTTATAACAGGTACACAATCAATTTCCAGATTTGACCTAACGCATTCTCTTATAGCCTTTATTAGTAAAAACATGGTGTTATTAAACTACTATTAAATGTCATCAGTAGTTAAATGACACAACAGATGCGCTCAGTTTGAGAGATGATCACAATAATGGCCACAATTCACACATTTTTCAACATTTATACGTCAATAAAATGAACAAATGATGAATAAATTAATGCCAACACTTGTCTAGTAGTATAACTTGGGATTTTTATGAGCTAACAAACGTGCATGTTTAGTAAATGCATTAAAAGTATTTGAAAAATGTAATAGGTGAATTGAAAGTAAAGACATATTTGTTGGAGGAATTGCGGAAACCAGAAATAAAATAAATATTGCAATTTTCCCATTTCAAACATAGACATATCCACCATGGTACTGTATACTGTATACTGTACAAAATAAAGTTATTCAACGCATAATTCATATTTTTCTCTGTATTCTAAAATGTGTTATTCTTAACAATATTCATGATTTGTAACTATATTGTGATCAGAGAGTAGCCTCAGAACAGAGACAGAGATCAATTAAAGTATAATAGATTATTGATTGGTATAACCGTAGCAATAATATTGCATAAAATATATATTATATATTTTATTTTATTTATATTCTATATAGAACTGTCAATTAATAAATAGTTAATTAAAGATATTTATTAAATTAAAGATTTTAATACTTATTTAAAGTAATTTACAGTATATACAATATTTAATAAATATACTATTTTATAAATGTAATAGTTTTTAAAGTTAATTTTCTTTATTTTGTGATTATTGTCATTATTGAGTAAATCTATATTATTTTAACTAATGAATAACGTAGTGTGATCACTAATCATGATAGTTTTATACCATTTTAACACGGTATTCTTGATATTCTTTCGATTTAAAAATATTAAATTGTTTAAAAAACTTTTTAAAAAACATAATGAATTATGTACAGTAAATTTGAAAGTTTTAAAACTTTAATTATTACTTCATTTATATTAACAATAGTAATACAATAGCGCAATATTTAAATGTTTATGTTTAAATTGTATATTTAAATATTTGTAAAAATAATATTATGACATTTGAAACTATTGTATAAATTAGAGATAAAACAATAAATGTGTAAAAATTGTGGTAAATATAGTAAATTGAAAATTAATATTGAATATGATTTGCAATATATTGAACACTTGAATGGATGTCTGGTCTCTGTGTGAGAGTCTGTGAAGTGATGTATTTGTGATGCAATTGCAGTGAAAGGCAATGCCTTTAAGCCATACATTGAATGCCATTCTGTATGTCATAACACATACACAACAAACACATCACTCGTTATGTTATAACAAATTCATTGTTTTTATTGTCATTTAAATGTTTTAATTCATTATTAATTAATCAAAACATTAGAAATTAATTAATGTATTGATTGTAATGTGAGCTTAAAGTGATTGATAGACAGAAATGATATAAAAATCCATTCAATAGTATTATTAATGACTGAAATTGTGAACAAATTTTTAGATAATATTAATGTTTTTGTATATAATTAGCGCTGAATTTGTTAACAATTATATGAATTTATATAAATTGAGTCAATCTTTAGGTAATTATACGTATTATAGGCTCAATATATCGTCGATCGAGAACTACGTTGACATCGATGTCTTAAAGTGGTTCATATGGCTCTTCACCCCTATTGTGGTCAGTATTGGTGGCAACCATTCACTCGACATCTCTTCTAATTGATCCCCACTTTGTTTGCATTTCAGATAACATTTCTTTTGCCGGTTTTGATAATATTGTTGTTGTATTTGTCGGCTCTTATAATCTTCATATACAGACACAGACAACGACTGGATTTGTCTAAAATCAAAGACGCCATCGAAAGGAAGCACTATTGGGACGGAGCTCTTCACGCGGTGGCCGTCCTCTGGGAGGCTCACGGATACGTATGGCACGGATATGAAGTGATCGGTTTGGACAACATTCCCG